ACTAACAGATAAGTAAGTGTCAAACTACTATTTTTGCTGTGGTATTTTTGGGCAAAAGTGCAAAACATGAGTGTGTGTTGACACTTAGACTTTGTAAGACATTTAAAGTATAAATTTTACAACAATCTTACCAGGGAAAATATTGTCCCACAGCTGTCAAATAAAACTGGACTAAGATAAAAGCCCAAATAGACTGCTAGAAATCTTATAGAGCAGAAACAAATCTGGTAAAACTGAAAATCAGATTAACTCACATGCTTCGGTGATTTTCTTAAAGCAGAATCAGTTGGAATTCCACATCTGGAATGTTTGGGGCAGTGGGAGCAGGTGTGCAGATGTGAATTTCCTGGAATATTTGGGGCAGAGGGAACAGGTGTGCAGATGTGAATTTCCTGGAATATTTGGGGCAGTGGGAGCAGGTGTGCAGATGTGAATTTTCTGGAATGTTTGGGGCAGTGGGAGCAGGTGTGCAGATGTGAATTTTCTGGAAGTTCACACATGTGGTTCTGCTCCCACGGGTGTGTCAGGGCTGTGGGTCAGTCAGGCTCCCTAACACAGTGGCCAGTTGTAGCCTATTAGCAGAAATATCAAAATAGACATTAATTAGATAATTAAACTTCACAGACACTCCTTTCACAGCCAGCAGAGTTGTACAGCAAACTGGGAGGGGTGAGATATAGAGAAAACATTAAAAATACAAAGTTCCATTTAGCCTTATGGATAATTTCCCCTTTTCTTTTTCTCTTGAGTACTTATTTCTCTTCCAGGGAGAAAAGAATAAATACTTATTATGTCTTCCAGGACATAACATTCCATGAATTATTATCTTATAATCACCAGGTCCTGCATGTCACCAATATTTTTTGGAGGATAAAGAGGATTAATAAATGTTAAATAGCATCTTGGAATTTTAAAGGAGAAATTTGGGGGGAAATAACTGGATGCAAGCACATGGCTCAGGAGATAGCATCCGGCATCTGGAAAAGCAAATCCACTTTTTTTAGTGTGCAAATCCCAAGATTAGATTTTTTTTTCTTTTTTTTTTTTTTCATGTTGCCATCCCTTAACATTTGCACGAGTCAAACTGATTTTGACAGCCAGGATTTTAGTTATTTTCTCTCCTGTTGGATGCGGGAAATTTCTTCCAACTCTTGTTGAAACTTGCTCAGAGCGGAACTGAACGAAGGTGAAGAAGGCTTGGAAATGACCTCGAAGAGGGTTTGGAAAACCTCGAAGAGGGTTTGGAAATGACCCCGAAGAGGGTTTGGAAGTGACCACGAAGAGGGTTTGGAAATGACCCCGAAGAGGGTTTGAAGACGAGCGGGATGTGCTGGGGCGGGGCAGGGCTGTGCCGGCCGGGTGGGACGCTCGGACCCGCCGGGAGCCGCTCGTGAATGAACTCCGCCGGAATTTCATTTTCTTTATGAATGGGAGCCCCGCGGTGAATGAACGGCGCAGCTCTGCGATCTGATTGGTCCGCCGGGGCAGAGGCCACGCCCACTCGGCCCTGGGTGACGGCCGAGGCGGGCGCTGATTGGCGGGCGTGCCCCGACGCGGAGCTTCATTCACAAATTCGATCAAACAAAGGAGTGGGCGAGCCGGGGCCGTGAGCGCGGGGCCAATGGGCGACCGGCCCCGGGCCCACGGCGGCCTCGGGGCGCGCTCGGGGCGGCTCCGCGGGGGCCGGGGCCACCGGTGATACCGGCGCTGAGGGACGGCTCCGGACGGGACCCGACCCGAGGGGGGCTTCTGTCCCGGGGTTCGTCCCGCCCGGGGCTGCCGGGCTCGCTCCCGCCTCGCATTCCAAGTTTCGGCAGCTGCGACGCGGTCGCCGCCGGTGCCGGGCAGCGGCAGCGATCGCGGTCCTGCCGCCGCTGCTGCGGATCTCGGCCGCCCCGCCAGGCCCGGCCCGGCCCGGCCCCGGTACCCCGCGGATGCCCAGGGAGCGCGGGTAGCGCCCGAGGAGGATGAAGGGGTACCTGGACCAGCAGGTGCCGTTCACTTTCCCGCAGGTGAGTGGCGGCTCCGCCGGGGGGCTCCGGGCCGGTCCCGCTCCTCCCGGGGCTCCGGGCCGGTCCCGCTCCTCCCACGGCCCCGCTCTGACCCGCTCCTCCCGGGGCTCCGGGCCGGTCCCGCTCCTCCCGGGGCTCCGGGCCGGTCCCGCTCCTCCCACGGCCCCGCTCTGACGCGCTCCTCCCGCAGCAGCCCCCGGGCCCGGCGCCGCCCGCCGGCCGAGCCGCGCTGGGCGCTGCGAGGACTCCCGGAGAACCGGACGTGCCGCCGGAGCAGGACTCGGAAGGTGAGGGGGGCCGGGGAGGCCGGGCCGGGACCGGGACCGGGGCCGGCTCCTCCCGGAGCATCCCGCGGTCAGCCCGGCCCCTCTCCCCGCAGAGCTGTTCCAGGACCTGCGGCAGCTCCAGGAGACGTGGCTGACTGAAGGTAGGCTCTGTCCCCGGCTCTGTCCCCGGCTCTGTCCCCGGTTCTGCCTCCGGTCTCCGTCTCCGGTTCTGCCCCGGGCTCTGCCCGCGGCTCTGCCTCCAGTCTCTGTCCCCCCCCGGTCTCTGTCCCCCCGGTCTCTGTCCCCCCGGTCTCTGTCCCCCGTCTCTGTCCCCCGGCTCTGTCCCCGGCTCTGTCCCCGGCTCTGTCCCCGGCTCTGTCCCCGGTTCTGTCCCCCGGCTCTGTCCCCCGGCTCTGTCCCTGGCTCTGTCCCCGGTTCTGTCCCCGGTTCTGTCCCTGGCTCTGTCCCCGGCTCTGTCCCCGGTTCTGCCCCCCCGGGCTCTGTCCCCGGCTCTGTCCCCGGCTCTGTCCGGGCTCTGTCCCCGGTTCTGTCCCCGGCTCTGTCCCGGGCTCTGCCCCCCCGATTCTGTCCCTGGCTCTGTCCCTGGCTCTGTCCCCGGTTCTGTCCCCGGTTCTGTCCCGGGCTCTGTCCCCGGGCTCTGTCCCCGGGCTCTGTCCCGGGCTCTGTCCCCGGGCTCTGTCCCCCGGCTCTGTCCCCGGTTCTGTCCCCGGTTCTGTCCCGGGCTCTGTCCCGGGCTCTGTCCCCGGCTCTGTCCCCGGTTCTGTCCCGGGCTCTGTCCCGGGCTCTGTCCCCGGCTCTGTCCCCGGTTCTGTCCCCGGTTCTGTCCCCGGCTCTGTCCCCGGTTCTGTCCCTGGCTCTGTCCCCGGCTCTGTCCCCCGCTCGGTTCCGCTGTCTCGGAGTTGCTTTTGGGGTTTGTCCCGCTCCTCCGCTGTGTTTGCCGGGCTCCAAACAAAAGTGGTTTTCTCAGACTTGCCAGCCTCTGCCTTGTGTCAGCTCAGACTGAATGACACCATTGTGCCGGGCATTTGCTTCTGAATGGGACTTGGCTGCCGGCCCCGATTTCCTGGCTACAATTTTCGCTTCGGGCGATTTGTAGCTGCTTCAATTTTATGCTAATTTGTCACTTATCTTTGTAGGTTGCCAGAACGTTGATATTTTCTTAAACAACAAAGTAGTCTTTTAATTTGCGGAACAAAATGCTTCTATTATTTCTTTTTTTTTCTTTTTTTTTTTTTTTTTTTTTTTTTTTTTTTGTGGGGACCTTGCTGGAATTTACATACTTTTCAGTTTGGTGTCTTAATTGTTTTGACTTTGAACTTCAAGGAAAACTTCGAATGCCGGGGAGTCACATTAATTCCAAGTGAAACTATTTCTAAACATGCTGATTTTGCTCCAATTCCAGTACTACAGATGGTCCGTTTTCTAGAAAATTCAAAACACATCCTCAAGTACAGACTCTTGACAAATATTGAAGTACTTATTGTATCTAGGTACATAAAAATATTTAAATATAATGATGTAAAAATATATATGGCATTTTGAGCAGGGTTATTTCCTCTCGTTTTACCACAAGTGAGGGACAATCTTGTCAAACAATTCTTTTTTTAAGCCTTCAAAAATATATTTGCCAACTAAGTAAGATTATTATTAAGGAAAAAAAATCAGAAGTTTAATGTTCATTCCAAACTGAACTGAAATGAGGTGCTGTGAATCAGGCAGTGTTCCAGGATTGTAAGGATGCAGCAGGAATTACCTGGAGGCTGTTTCAATATGGAAACATCCATGTAACTTTTATCAGAACAGGAAAATTGGTACGAATTGCTGGTCATATAATTAACCTGAGATTGATTTCTTTTAAATCTTAAAAGAACGTGAGTTACCAATAAGTTTGCCTCAAAACTGATTTTTGGTAGACTTTCAATTTTGGATTTTCTGATAATAGTTTGAGCTAAACCGATCAAAGAATTTCCATGGAATCTCTCACAATATATTTGCCACTAGCAGAGTTTTTGCAGGGTGAGTTTGGAAGTCACTCACAGCCCTGGAGGGACAGAGGTGCTCTGCTCCACCCAGGATTAGTAAATGATAATGCAAAGCTTACTGCATGTTTCTGGAATATAGGCAGAGATTTTTTTAATTATCATTTTTCATGGCTCATAGCATCTAACCAGAGTCCAAGTGAAATCCCTGAGAAATTCAATATGAGTTTTAATAATGTATTTTATTATTTTAGTCTGTGTATCAGGGAACTGGTTTCTCCCATTGTTGCTCCCATGTCCAGACTTGTAACAACAACAACAACAAAAAAAAATAACCCTCTGAAGAAAAGTATTGCTTTTTTCTATTCACCAGGATGTCAAAATATTTTCCTGAATGGTGAAAATATTTTTTACTAATGTCCTGTATGTTAACATTTGTTCATGAGATGGAAACATCAGATAAAGAGTATCATACTAAACAATGCAGAAGAAAGAGAAAACATTAAATATGTTATTTATTATTTTCCTTTACCACATTTACTTTTATTTTAGAAGTTATTTATTTACTTACAGGTTTTGGTGTTACTTTTGAAATGAAAGAGAAACAAACCTAGGAAGGAAGCAAACTAGAAATAAGGCATCAGCCAAAAATGGTCATGAATTTAAAGCAGATATCTATCTGTATAAATGTGTTTATGTGTGTCACTATATGTATTGGTGTGATGTCTGTCATAGGTTTGTTATATTTTTAAAGTATTCTAATAGTGTCAATTAACACTTGATATCTTATTTTGAGAGTCAAAGAATTATTCTGCATATAATTATTCAAAAAGAATTATATGCAGAATATAAAGGCTCTTTTTTTTAAAGGCTCTTAAAAGAAACACACGCTGAAACATCCTGGGCCTGGTTAGTAAAAATCCAGTTTTCCTCTGCAGTTTTTACCAGGATCTGCTGCACTTGGTGAACCTGGATGCTGGTAACTCCATGGAATTAACTTCAAGCCAAATAATTTATAGAAGTGCATCAGCATTCAGAGAAACAAACAAAAAACCCAGATTTCTTTGGAGAAAAGTGGCACAGGCAGGTGCTGTGAAGGAGCACATTCACATCTCCAGGTGTCCTCGGGCAGAAAATTGAAGTTCCAGAGCTCCAGCTCTGGGAAGCTGTGGGGAAATGCTGGGGTCAGGCTTGCAAGAGCAGAGCTGGGTTTAGATCTCTCATTAATTATCCCACTGCTTCCAAGAGCCACTGTGGCTTTGGGGAGAACAGGAAAATACCTGTGCAACCTTGTGGGGTAGGTAGTGAATGTAAAAATTCACAGAATTCACAGAATCCCCAGGGTGGAAGGGACCTTAAAGATCGAGTCCAACCCAGCCCCAACTCCTCAACCAGACCCTGGCACCCAGTGCCAGCTCCAGCCTTGGTTAAACACCTCCAGGGTGGTGACTCCATCACCTCTCCAGTCCCTGCGTATTTCCAAAATTCCCCCAAATTCACAGAATTTACAGGTTGGAAGAGACCTTCAAGGTCATCAAGTCCAAGCCAGCCCCAACTCCTCAACCAAGCCCTGGCACCCAGTGCCAGCTCCAGGCTTGGTTAAACACCTTCAGGAGTGGTGACTCCACCATCTCCTGGTTTTTAGGAATTCCCAAAATTCCCCCAAATTCACAGAATCACTGGGTTGGAAGAGACCTTCAGGATCATCGAGTCCAAGCCAGCCCCAACTCCTCAACCAAACCCTGGCACCTCCAGCCCTGGTTAAACCCCTCCAGGGCCGTGCCCACCTCCCTGGCAGCACATTCCAGTGCCCAGTCCCTCCTGCTGTGAAGGATTCCTTCCTGAATCCAGCCCAAACGCCCCCTGGCACAGCTGGAGGCTGTGTCCTCTTGTCCTGGTGGCCACTCCAGAGGAAATGACCTCGTGGAGATGTTGTGAGTACAAAGGACAGAACAGAATTCCCAGGTTGGAAGAGACCTTCAGGATCATCGAGTCCAAGCCAGCCCCAACACCTGAACCAAGCCCTGCCACCCAGTGCCAGCTCCAGCCTTGGTTAAACACCTCCAGGGGTGCTGACTCCACCACCTCCCCGGGCATTCCAGAACTTTATCACCTTCCTGGAAAAAAACGTTTTACTGACATCCAAC